AAAATTTATGTATGGAATAATTTCGCCAAAATCATTCTTAACCTAACGAAAAAAAATATATTTCACTGTGTTTGTTTAGTATTAAATTACTGTAAACAAATCTAAAATATATTTAGTTGGGTTAGGCAAAAATAAATTGTTCTTGTTATAATAAGGTTAGGTAAGTTTTCTAAGATTCTTTTAGTACAAAATTATAAATTTTTACATTAACTTTAATGAAAAAATATATCTTTAAACGTATAAGAGAAAATTTTAGAAAGGACTTAATTTTAAATGAGTTCTTGCTAATTGACCAGTTTTACATATTCTGCACGACATATATATATATATATATATATATATATATATATATATATATATATATATATATATATATATATATAATATGCATGTAATAACACATAATTTGCTTATTATAGTATGTGTAAATGAGATTACTTGTTATTACTGGGAATTTTAGGTGGACACTGAGGATGTCAAAAACCTCAGAGTGGCTAAGGTATTTACAAGGGTTCCGATACCTCACTCAGTCGTTCATGCATTCACAGATAAATGAACATTCAGTTACATAATATCGAAGGTCATGTGTTCGCTCCATTTCACTTTTTTTTTTTTTTTACTAGAGATTCAGCTCCTTACATTTTAGGTTCAGTATTACTCCTTGACGAGGTAGATGGTGTCCTAGGCCCATATTTTCTACGGTATACCAGTGACAGGAACAAGAGGTTAGTTTCTCTCGTAAGAACAAAAGCAATATGTAGATATATTTATCTAATTACAATCCAGACTTATCCTCAGCTACTCGCATAATACAACTCTTACAACAGCGCACAAAGCACACTTCATTTAATATATCTTACTGGTTTACAACGAAGAAAGACGGGTCAGCAGTGTGATGATTTGCTTGCAACTTAATGACACGACTTAAGAGTGTTGATGTGAAGATCGCCAGAGGCATCACTGAACCTTAGGAACAACCCAAGTGGGCGGTTCTCTACTGCCATTGTTATAATTATATAATTTGTTAGACATCTCACTAATATAGAATATATTCTCCACGCCTGCTGCTTTAGAAAAGAATTATGAAAGATCCTTCTCGTTTCTTGCAATAATTCATACATTAAAATCTGTTTGTTCATCACATAACCATCATCTAGGATTTACAATATATTAAGTGTTCGTCTTATTGATCGTTGGTAACATCGCTCTTGCCATCTAAGTCAATCGTGTTATCTAAACACACACACACATTAACTGAATACAGAAAGTCACGGTGAGAAAGTTTGTGCCACTATCAAGGAGGTACATGAGCAGCGGAGTACCCCAGGAGCCAGTCCTTGTACCGCAGACGATTCAAGGTATGCCAGCAACCTCCCGTGTAGCTTAGAACATTATGATTTAGGGTTCGTTCATGATGCCTGTTACGACTGTGATGTCGTAACTTAAAATGTTCCGGACTCCCAAAGGCTGCTCACACTGTTGTCTAGGGGTTATAAAATTACACTGAAAACACAGCAAACCTTGGGCCAGCATGTACTCGTACATTAAACAATATTAATTATTATTAGGAAGGACAAAAACTCACCTATATAAAAATATGATATTATTAATAACTTATATACAACTTATAACTACTACAAAAAAACACCACACTGCAGTTCACTTTAGCTCACTAGCACACTGCTACTAATGAGATAAAGCAAGTCATCAGGGAGGCTCCATGACATACACACCCCCGTCTTCACTTCTGCATCGACACCATGCCCAGCCCTTCTAGGGTAGGGTAGGTGCCTGAGCCGGAGCTTTTAGCTCATTAGACTGTCATTCCCATTAGCCCCCTTGGGGCGGGGATGGCAGACTAGAGAGGCCTAGCTTGTGGCTAGGCCTGGGGACAGTTGGTCCCAAAGTGAGAGGTACTTGTGCCTAATCCCATGGGAGATTTATGTCTCAGACACTCCCTAAAGAGGGAGCCAAGGCCGGGCCACCACTTGGAAAAGGCCCGGGCCGGAAAATACCGGCGAATCTTTAATAATAATAATTCACTTCTGCCTGGTAGACTAATACAAGCAGCAAAACACAATACAGTACTCTCTCAAAAACAGGCCTCTGCATGCTAGGGCCTTACAAATAAACATGAGAGCACTTAAACACAAACACTTATAGTATGCACTAAAAAAAAATTACCAAAATTACCTACTCAAACTACCGTAACACTGCCAAATTTATCACAAGAATTACGACAGATTAAGAATATAATAAGCACCATGTACTTTTTTCTATGATATATATTTTGTAACACTTGGATAGTAAGATATTAGATGGACCAAGAAACAATGTGTGCCAGAACAAATGAAAGCCATTGCTTATCTTTTATTGTTACTGTGGTAGTCTGATTATCGTCCTTGTCAGGCGTCTTTAAAACTTCAAAAATCACTGAGTTATGCACTGGGAGTTATGCTCAACCATTCAGTGGCCAAGAATACCAAGTGTTGATTATGGTACAATTTATACAAACATTTATAATCTACGAATAAAAAAAAATCGGAATATCGTGAATAAACGCAGTTTGTGAACGAAATGTTAAATACTGTTTGGTTAAAAGAAACGGTGGGACTTAAAGTATTGTATTACAGAAATTCAAGACATCTTATCCATCTTCTATATTTACACTGTCAGCATTACTGGATATTAATCATTTTAGAAGATAACGTCACAAAGGATAAGATGATAAATACCTCGTCATAATGACCAGATTACGACCCAAGGTTATGTAAATGTAGTGAGGGAGAAAACTGACGGAGATTGTTTAATATAGGGGAGAGAAGAGTGAGGGAGGAATGGATTTAGGTAGTAGAAGAAGAAGTGGAAAGGTACACCAGCAGGGTGCTGCTTTTTTTACTTAATTACTAAATAATACCAACACTGTGAGAACAAAAGCGGTTATTCATTTCGTTTGTTCTGGAGCTCAAGAGTTCCAGAAAAGAAATGAATAACAGCATGATCAAACAGTCTCTCAGTCCACAGAAGGATTCGAACCTCCACATTCTGTATCAAAGTACACAGTTCTTTCGCCAATCAGAGATATCCCAGAGACGAAAGTACTGTGTACTTTGATACAGTGTGCAGGTTCCAGTCCTCCTGTGGACTGAGAGATACACTTCGTTCAAAGTTCGCCCGTGTGTGTGTATATGTATATATATGTATATATATGTATATATAATATATATTATATATAAGTATATATTATATATATGTGTGTGTATATATATATGTATATGTATATATATGTATATGTATATATATGTATATATATGTATATGTATATATATGTAT